AGCTCTGGAGGTTATAAGGGACGCGACACTAGCGCCGCCCTGTAGAATAAGGGAATCCTTACGCTTTGAAGACTGGTTCTCATCCAGACTATCAATTCGTCGCTTACAGGTTTCCCATTCGCGAAGTACACGTATCTGCAATCTGGAAAGCTGTAACAGTTGTTGTTGCCCCATATTACAATGTTTTTAACATCTATCGGAAGACAGTTCGCGCGCTCAGCAATCTGAAATGAACACGATAAACTCAGGCGTGTTCCGGTAGAAAGTATAGATTCTGTATTATGAATTTTGATAATTGTTTGGATAAACCGCGTGGGTAAAATACGTGTGTAGCAGCCATCTTCAAATTGAACATCGCCAGCGCAGTTATATTCTTAGGGGGGATGGACTTGGCGTATCGAGATATGATCGTAGCAGCTGTATTTCCGAGTACTATAATTCTCGCGTCCTTTTTCGCGTATTTCTCTATGCACTCGCCCTATAAAGATTCATCTAAAAGGATCAACTAATTTAACAAAATATATACAAGTTAGTACATAGAACTTGGCGACGCGAACGTATTCCTTGAAAAATGGACCATTGTATTCCTCCTCACGGAACACATACTCCCTCGCTGAACCTATGCAGAACACAACGTCTGCGTCTTTAAACGCCACCGATTCGTCGTGACCATAAGTGACGCCTGGTCCACGAAACAACGTGATTAAATGTCTTATTTATTTATTAATATAGACAGAAAAAAGGGGAGGTGTTTGTTAACCGTGTAAGAGGTTTGGACAAAACGAGGTGAGCTCGATCTCGACGCTCTCCAGAAACACTGCTTTCGCTGGGAACTCGTAAACACTGATTAATATAGGTTGGTCTGACCCGAATGTATTGTCAGAGAGAATCCTGTACAGGAGTGCTAGGGTGATTTCTGTGGTTCCGTCAGTAACCACGATGCGCAGAACGTTCTTCTTCAGCAGTGAAACATTTGTAACGACGGACTCTCCTTTCTCTGCAGTGATCAGGTTCATTTTTGTTGGTTATAGGTCGACTAGTGAAGTTTGCAACAAGTATGAAATTCGTTTCTTATCTCATGACTCAATACTATAGCTTTGGTGACCCGGTCACCAATGAATCTACTTTTATTTGACTGATGAATACATGTTAAACCTTACTCGTATCGCTACTATCTCTTATTACAGCAAATACAATGTAAATTGTTCGCAGCGAGACAGAGAACTTGCGTTAATAGTTGTGGTGAATACGTATTAAACCTTACTCGTATCGCTACTATCTCTTATTACAGCAATCAATATCACTACGTACAATGTAAATTGTTCACGGCGAGACAGAGAACTTGCGTTAATAGTTGTGGTGAATACATATTAAACCTTACTCGTATCGCTACTATCTCTTATTACAGCAATCAATATCACTATGTACAATGTAAATTGTTCACACGGCGAGACAGAGAACTTATATTAACACTTTATCTACCTATTTAGAAACAGTCTTTAATTCAAAAAAGAATTTTCTACAGTAGCATATGCCAATCTAGGTTGACAGTAATTCCTCCATATCGTAACTAGTACATTGAAAGCCAAGTCCGTTTCCAAAAACTGAACATTGTAAGTAGACGACCATCAACACAGTAAATAAATTCGAAAAGCTAAGTACCGAAATTAAAAAGCCTATAAATAGGCTCCCGGTAAATAAAGTGTTAAGTACGCAAGTTGTTGATACACTTTTCCAGAATGTCCTTCTTGATGCGCGGATAGTCAGGGCTCAGCTTCAGAACTTCGTTGCAGGCTTCGATCGCCTCTGCGTACGACTTGGCCTTCATGGAACAGTAAGCCAACTTGTAGGCGATCGAAAGCTTGAATTTACCACCGTACTTCCAGGCTTGACTGTATTGCGCGGCGGCTTCGCGATAATTCTGCTCCTTTTCCGCTATGTAGCCGGATAGTTCGTGTGCCCTGACGCAAGTGGCGTTGTGCTGCAACACGCGCCTCAGGAGATCGTTCGCCAAGTCGTACTTGCCCGACTGGGCGTAAATGTCCGCCAAGAGCAGCCAACAGCGCTCCAGATATTCCGCGTCTTCGAATGTCCATATGTTCTTGCTGACGCGTTTCAAATGATTCCGTGCCCTAGGGGTTTGTTTAAGCAGGATGTGAGCCATCGCCATACCAAGAGCAGGCCCCACGTGATCTCTGAGGGCTTCTTGACTAGCCAGTGACGTACAATCCTGTAAAACCTTCTCTATGTTCGACTTCTGTTTGGTAGCCAGGAGGAAGAAATTGCTCAACAGCCTGTGCGTCAACATCTCGTGCGAGTTTCCCTTAGGATTTAACTCCTGAAACGATGTTTATTACTTGGTCAGCTTTCGTCGATACGATTTTCTATCTAATTAAGAAAAAATTAGAAAAGAACGAATAATAGTACCTGCAACAGACGATACGCCGTTTTCAAGGCCATCGTTCTAGAGTCTTGGCATTCCACGTCATCGTCGTTAAAGACGTCGTTCGAGAGAGAAGAATCATCATCCGGATCTAAGCAAATCTCGATCATATTGTATATTGCTTGTTGACCCCACTCAGGATCACGTCTCGCAAAATTGAACTGACGCAGCGCAGAATTTAATCTGCCCATACGCCAATCCAATAAGCCAGCACAGTAATAATATCCAGCCGTTAAGCTCGACCCGCTCATCCCTATCTCCGCTCGATGAAGCCATTCCTCGAGATCGTCCATGTCCCCTGGTTTCGTTGGCAATTCGTTAAACCTCGAATAAACAACAAGGTCTACGTTTCACTCGTGTGAACTACGTTCCCTACCTGTTCTCCGGGAAACTTCGATCAGCCTTGCCAGTGCGGTCCAGTAGGTTGGTTGCTTCATTAGCAACTGTCGAAAGTGAAACGCTGCCGTGTCGAAGTCCACCTTTCTGAACGCGAGATCAGCCATCATTATCGAGGCAGCTTCGTTATTCGGATCCGCGTTCAACAGAGCTGTACAGCTTTGGGCGCATCGATCCAAATTATTGGTCTGTCGACGCGAGGCAATCGTTAATAAACAAAAATATCGCTGTAAAAATTCCGTGATCGTATACCTGCATGTACAGCCTCGCCAATGATAACAGTGCTTGCACATTCGCAGGCTTGTGATCCAAAGCTTCCTTGTAATACATTATAGCTTGGTCGTAGTTTCTCAGAGAGGACGAGTAGTCTGCCATCGTCAAGCAGATGTTGGTTAGAATCTGTTTCTCGTTCTCTGAACCGGGACCAGTTAGACGCTGCATGTATCTGTGTTGATTTTCCTTGGCTTCTTTAAGCGCAGACAGAGCGCCTTTGATGTTGTCTGCCTTCTCCCGGGTTTTTGCAAGCAACAACAACAGCTGGCCGCGTACTTCCAAGCTTTGTACATCCGAATCTCGACGACCATCTGAAACATTAGTTGCTTGTGTAAAAACTTACAGGTTCTCAATCATTGATCAAACGACAGTGGTTGAAAACCGACTTACTAGAATACAGGATAGGCAAAACTAATTTATTATTAATGCAAAACTAATCATATAGCTCAGCGAACAGTGTAATCAAACTTAAAGCGTACCCATAGGGTGGGGTCACTCAGCTACTGGCCTACACGTATCCCCTTTATTCCCAGTTATCCCAATTTTGTCTTTATTCATTCCCAACTTCCAGTTTACCTTCATTCCCATCGTATTCAATCATTTACTCACTTCCGTTTGATTACATTTAACAGTGAAAAACGAAACCAGAATGGTTTTCAACCATAAAATGAATCCCAGGGATCATGACTAAATAATAACGATGCTTGCCTTGCAGTTCTTGTACCAGCGTGGATTCCGCTTTATCATATTGTTTCATTGTCATAAACAGTTTCGCGAGATCCAGTTTCAAACCTTTGAAATTCTCCTGTTTCATCGCGTCCCAGTAGTAATTTATAGCCTTCGTGTACTGATGCGTCTTTACCAGCGCTTTCCCCAATTTACTGGCTATGTGTAACTTGTTCGTTGGATTCCGTTTCAACGCTTGCTCGTACGACTCTATCGCTCTTTCTGGCTCCTGTATAGACATGTACGCGTCTCCGAGCATGCTGTACGTCTTGGGATCTGGACAGTGTTCCACCAACTCCCTGAAAGTCGAAATACATTAATTTGAAAGGTTACAAAGAAGACAAAAGAAAGAAGTATCATCCTGATTAACAAACCTGAAACACATGGCGAAAGCGTGCCTATCTTTTTTGTGTTTCAAATTTATTTCAGCCAAGCGTGTATGAGCTTGCAAATAGTAAGGCTGATCAGGAGTTACTTTGGACAGACACTTGATGGCTTCGTCCAGTTCTCCCGTTTCTAAAAGTAGCTCGGCATGCCCGATTAATATTCTGCCCTCTTCTATGGTGTTTCCAAATTTTATTTTCGCCTCCTGGACCGCAGCGGTCGCTTCGTTGAATTGTCCCATCTCGCTGTACGCAGAAATTAATTCCAGATACAAGGTTGCCGTGTCCGACATGGAAATATGTACAGCATTCTGGACGTTTCCGTGAGACAGCAATCCCGCGTACGACATAGCAGCCTGGAAACTTTTCATGGCGCCCTCGACGTCTTTGTTTTCTCTCTGAACCATGCCAATGATTAAATGATAGATCGGATTATCCCTGATCTTAAAGTTGTAGCTCAAACCAACTTCCAAACTCTGAGAAGCTTGCTGATAATTTCCCTGGCGAGCCAAAATTTGCGCCATAAGCAAATGAGCTTCGGCATTGGACGAATCGATATTATCCAAGAGATTTTTCAGGATATCCGAAGCTCTGTTTAACTCTCCCGTTTGCATTTTAGCTTTGCTCAACAATAATTGCGCTGCTATTAAGCCAGGATACGCGTCTGTTAACTGTTCCAATAAATACAAGCTTGGTTCCTCTTTATTCGATACGCTTTTCTCCAGGTTCGTTCCATCACTCGTTATCGAATAAATCAGACGCTGTTTAGAGATCTCTAAACACAAGTCAGGATTTAATCTTTTCACGTAGTCGTAACCATATGGTACGTACCTGCAATTATTCAATATGATCGTAGCTGCACTGTCCAAACAATTGAGAGCTTTATTCGGATCGCTAGACTTCAGCTTTGCAGACATGAAAAGCAATTCTGCGTCCATCGAGTTGGATTGTATATCCATGAGAAAATCTATTTGTTGCTGCGCTAATTCCGAGGCTTCGACCGAACCATCCAAAAGCTGACAATGCGCTAGACCCATTAAAGCAGCGAACGAAGACTCGTTTATTCTTACAGCGTTTCTGTACCAATTTTCAGCATCCTTTGTTTTGTTTAACGAAACATATAAATTACCCAACTCGACCATAAGATCTGCGCTCTTGGAATTTTGTTGCAGCATCTTCTCGGTTGCTCTAGAGAGTTCAGCTAGAATCTCTTGATTCTTGCAAGCCAACCGCGAAAATAATTGTACACCGGCGATGAAGACAGTTACGTTTCTAGCTTCCGTAAGCATAAGATTCCTGAAGAACAGCTGCAAATATCTCAACCCTTCGCTATAATTTCCATCCCTGCAAAGAACTACAAATGTTTGGGCCTTTAGAGCGTCCAAGTTATTCGAATCGATCGACGATATCCTGTTAGCAGTTTCCAACACTTGGTCCCAGTCTTTCAAGGTAAGTTGATTGTACAATTTCTCGACTAAAGGTAAATATAACTTAGAATAGCGTACGATCAATGAATTTAATGTTAATATTGCGCCCGCACTGTCGCCATGTTGCTGCTTGTACTTGGAAGAACCTAGCAGAGCATTTACGTTCTTTGGATCTTGTTCTAAGACGACTTCAAATAGATTTGGTTTGTCCAAACCATTTTCATTTGTAGCAAACAGATCTACCCAACCTTTAGCTAGCAAAACGTTTACATTGGATGGATTTAGTTTGTAAGCTCTCTCCGTGTAATCTTTAGCTTTATCAACTTTCTGCGACAAAAGTAATACCAAGGCAGCTAATGACAATGCATTAGGAGATGATTTTCTCCTTTCATCTCTGATTCTTGTATCAATCTGCATCATAGTGGTCCTTTCAACATTCTCGCCAATTGTGTATGCTACATTCTGCACAAGCAATGCTGCTAAAGTTGCATCCGTGTTACTTACTAAGCTCAAGCTCTCTTTAATTGCCTCTTGAGTTTTGCCAGTCAATGCGTACGCAAGACTTAATAGAATTCTTAAACGTTCGCTTGTAGGGTAAGCTTCGCATGCTTCTTTAGCATGAAGCACCATACCATTATAATAAAATTGGTGACAAAACCATTCGATCAAAGTTGTATACTCTATTTCTTCCATTTTATAAACTATATAAAATATTGAATTTCAGTTTAAAGTTACAGTAGTACTTGTGCAAGTGGACATGCCAAACTTTGTTCTGTATACATATGTACGGTACATTAATTGTTTGCATATCTAAGACCTTTTCATCAACTACATATCGTAACAGAACTTCTGCAAATAAAAAAGCAATACATAATTTAGAATTACGTTAAATTATCTAGATGCTAAGAGTAATGATTGCTTCAGTAGTATATCTTACAATTATTATCCATTTTTACATAAAATAGACCTTGTTTCTTATTATGATGTACAGTGTAAATGAATTTAGCATAATGATTTCGCTTAGATTGTTCCAATATCGAAGATAATATAGTACTTATGCAATTCATACCGCTCACATAAAAAAATATACTTCCAAAAACTTCTATTAACTGAATAATTACGATATTTATTACAATTTTATATTCATTAAAATGGAAACTTCAAACAAATTTGAGGTTATGGTTATGTTGGCATGTAGTTACTTAGCAACAATAATATATAATTGCTCTAAACGTCAATAATTTGCAGACTTTAATAGAATACTATTTGAATAATTGATACAAATAAAAATAGTGGGTGTATGTGTATATTCATAGTGTTTATTCGAATATTGAATACAATATGTTGATACTGTAATTAAGATTGTAATGATTATGGGACAAATAAAGCATCTATCTTTTATATTCAACATATTTTTTAACATATGTGTGTATTTATTTCCATTTAATAACATAAACATTGAATTTCAAACAAAAATACAAAATTTTAAAAGGAGACGCTAACGGGGCGGCAATTAGTATGTCCATCTAGCGGTCAATACTACGAACTAAAATCCAATACATATAAATACATAACATAATCGTTATCACATTTAACATTGAAAAACGACTGTACAGTTTAATTCAAATATCATAGTGCTTGAGATTTTAACCTTATTGTTTAATTAATTTATGTTATTAGCATTACATTGTTTAAAAATCATTTTCATTTAAACAAACGGTGGCGCCATCTCTTTGAAAAGGCTCCAAGCTTGTAGGCAAATAGTTCCGATGACTCGCCGCTAGATGGCGCCAGAAAAATGTGCAAAATACCGAAACATTAAAC